AGGTGTATCAAAGGCCGCGATCAGTCTTTTTGCCATATCCTCGGCGAGACGCAGTAACGGACCGTTGCAGGGCCAACCCGGTTCCAGCTTGACACCTGCTCTGCGTGACAATAGGTGTGCGCTCAGCAGCCCACCGACCACCCGAATGTTCGTCTCGAACACGGACACGTTGATGTTGGCCTCGAAGTTCTCCCTCGCGCTGATTATCTCGGCAACGCGACGAAATTCGGAGAGATTACCCATAACCGCGAGCGTGTCCAGGGCGTCGATCAGCGTCAGGGAGAAGCTGCCCCAGGTGTCGAAGCCATCGCAACTCAACGAACGCAACTCGTCGTAGGGATAGGCGTGCGTCAGGTAGCCGGAGTAAGCGTAATCGAACATGGATCGAACCTCCTCGCGCAAAGCGAACAGATCCCTCTTGTTGTACTCCCGAAATCCGCTGACCAGGATCAAGAAACCCAGAATCGAGCCCGTTCTAAATAGGATCATCCTTTTATTATTGCTCGACTGTGTGGCTTTTTATCTGTTATCACCGACGTACATCGCCGCTCCTCTCCGATGACGATGAATCCCGCAGGATGATGCTCATGAGCCGCACGCGAATCGGCCACGTAGCCAAAACAATTTTATTATCCTCCGCGCGGACACACGCAACGTCGCGTCTAACCTATATCGCGATTCATCCCGTACGTGGAATTAAAGCACGCGCGCGCGCGATGCAAATTTAATTTTCCTACCATATCCGGCTCGTTTCGAACGAGGAGAAGACGATTAGGCGATTATCGGCCGCTGCATTTAAAGTGATTCTGTCACGGGATCACCCGGGTAATCTTACAACGCAACCTATAACCCAACGTAACCTTAAGTGACCGAGGTGCAGGTTGCAGGTGCAGTAGAATCATAAGAATCGAATGACAACAATACATAGTGGATGTCATTATGGATATGGAATTGAAAGATTTATTACGGAACTGCGCTTCAGCAAAGAAACGTACGTATACGTATGACTTTGTAATGAAAATAGCATTTCGCACACTTATTTATTACACGAGATATAAATATACTGAATGCATTTATATTTATCTATGTAATGTACTGTTTCAGCGAATGAAAACTCTAGTAATGAGGAGAAAGAGGATGAATACTTTCGAAGCATGTATCAGCAGTGGAAAGGTGTAAAGGCGAAAGACAATGATACTACATACAAAGTTATACCAAAGTTCTATTTCAAATTGCCGAAGGAGGATGAAATTTTACCACAAAAGTTACGCGAAGAGACACGTGCCTTATTCTTGCAAAGGCGCTCTCGGCAATTGCTCGATAATAATGAACTAAAAGCATTATGGGTTTTGTTGGACAAATATCATAGTCCACCGTTGTCAGGGGACGAACAGTTGATTAATTATGAGGATTTTAAGAAAGTGGGGAAACTGGCAGGAGCAAAATGCAGTTCATATTTTACCGCAGTTGTTTTTGCTAAACTGCAACAAGGAGATCCGCATGGTAGAATTAGCATCATGGCATTATTCAACTACGTCATGAGAAAAGTCTGGTTGCATCAAACAAGGATCGGTCTTTCTTTATATGATGTGACAGGGCAAGGATATCTCAGAGAGTCAGTAAGTTTTTTAAAATATATATATGTCTTTTATTATATTGTCTTATATTATATTGTATTTTTACTTGTGAGACTTTCTTAAATTTTGAATTTATTTATTCACACAGGATCTGGAAAACTACATTTTAGAATTGATACCGACGTTACCGCAACTTGAAGGTCTTGAAAAGTCCTTTCATTCTTTTTATGTGTGCACAGCTGTGAGAAAATTTTTATTTTTTTTGGATCCTCTTCGAACTGGACGAGTGCGTATTCAAGATATTTTAGCATGTAGTTTTCTAGATGATCTTTTAGAGTTGAGGGATGAGGATTTGCCAAAAGACCTCCAGGAAGCAAATTGGTTTTCTGCACCTTCGGCACTCAAAGTATATGGACAGTATCTTAATCTTGACAGAGATCATAATGGAATGCTAAATAAAGAAGAACTTGCTGGGTAATAAGCTGAAAAACTGCATTATAGTGTAAGATCAGCATATATAAAAAGTTAAATTATAAATATATAATTGTTGTATTTATATAGATATGGTACTGGGACTTTAACTGGTGTCTTCCTTGAACGGATATTTCAAGAGTGTCTGACTTATGAAGGAGAGATGGACTATAAAACTTATTTAGATTTCGTTTTAGCATTAGAAAATAGACATGAACCTCAGAGTCTTCATTATCTGTTTCGTATTCTTGATATCAACAATCATGGTTACTTAGATACATTTTGTCTTAACTATTTCTTTAGAGTACGTATGGTTTTTTTATTACAATTACATCTTCCAACAAGTTTTGATAATTTCCAATCAAAAAAGATATCATTTTGCAGGCTATACAAGAACAGATGACAATGCATGGTCAAGAACCTGTTAGCTTTGACGACGTTAAAGATGAGATATTTGACATGGTCAAACCAGCAGATCCATGTAAAATTACATTGCAGGATTTACTGTCTTGGTATGAAATATTGCATACAATATATTATGATATAGAAAAATATATTTCGTTAATATATTATTAACTAAATTATAAAACATTGTGATTGCAAGTGGGCAAGGTGACACGATGGTCAGTATTTTAATCGAATTCCATGGCTTTTGGGCATATGAAAATCGTGAGGCCATGGCAGCTGATACCGGGGACGAATCATCTCATGTATGACGAAAAAAAAACACTATTCCCAAATATGATATAAATATTCCACGGGGATAATAGATAACTTTATATATTGACATACTGTATGTATGTAATTAAAACTATTTGTTGTAATTTATTTTTTAATCAATAAAATTTTTATAATTCATAATTTATAATTTGAGAAATTCAGAAAAATGATCAAGATAATTCAGCTGTTATATGATGATTGTATATTCCTTAATTTATTTCTTAATCGAACATTATATTTGTTTTTCGGACATTGTATGCAAATTCAAGCGCGTAAAATAATTTGAATTTTTAAATTTATAATTTATACGTACTATGTGAAAATATTGGTCCACGGACCAATCGGGTAGCGTCATTTCAAACCATTCGTTTAAAGCGTGGGGTCGCTCCAGTACCGTATTAATAGCGTACTATTAAGTGTGGACAAGATGCTTTATCCAAAAATCAGATTTTAATAAAGAATTAAAACATATTTCTTTATCAATTGCAGGTATTTTTATAAAAAACTGCATGTATTTTTATCTTAAATTTCTTTTTAATTTATTTTACAGATAAAATAAAAAAAGGGAGTTGTAATTGTTTTGCTTAAGGGTGGAAAGAATTTCTAGTTACGTGCCTGAACCTGCAGATTTTCGCTTTTGCTTGGCGTCCCTACGCATTTCATTGTCAGTCTTAGTATGAAAGTGCGCGTCTGTTCATCGTAGTTTGCTATCGAGTTAAAACGCGTAATTTGACATTTTCTTCTGACAAGAATTCTTCACGATATTAAGTTCACTCGTTTCACCCGTATGCATTTTCTTTTTTCTTCCCGTTACTACAAAGCGTGAGTATATGTATATTATTTATTTCGTCCAAAAATACGAATGCGAGTAACTGAAAAAGTGTAACCAAGTGTAATTGCATGATATTAAAGGCGCGAATAGACTTATTCACGCGGATTGCGAAGGAAAAAAAGAATCGTGCATGTCGTTTCGCGAAATGAAAGATCATTTGGTGTACATTTTTCGCGATGCGTGAATTATATCTGTTTGATGTATATCAATCACGAGGATAGGAGTTCATTCTCCATCCGCATTTCTCTCTTTCTCTCTCTGTCTTTTGTCCCCCTCTCCTGCCCCCCCGTCGAGCAGTATGGCGCCCGTGTTTAAATTCAACGGTCAAAAATATAGTCCTTTTGTACGTTGCAGAATAAAGGCCGCACCTCAATCAGTCGATCATTTCAAGGACTGGTATCCTTCGTACAATACGACAATACGTATCTGAAAGTAAAAGTATTCGAAGGAATTTAGGTGAAAGTAAGCGTCGTTTCTCGAACAAATGGAACCTTTCATCCAAGTAAGAATCTTTTTTTTTTCTTCTCTTTAATCAGATAAGCGCTATGTGAAATACATGTTGACGTATGTATATCGCGACGTAGTTACGATATATCGGTTATATTTATGAATGGATTTATATTCAATCGATCTCTAGATTGCATTTTTTATATTGTTTATTCATTTCTTGGTGAAAGTTTTTTTTAAATAAATCTTTTAAGAAAGAAGATATGTTAGATTGTGTGATAATATATTGAAATTATTATTATTACTATATTTATTTGTAATATTTAAATGTCATTTTATATTTGTAACATTATTATAATATCGTTAAATATATAAAAAGAGTAATTAATATGACATGCACAAGAATATTTTTATAATTATTATTTTTATTACATACTCTAATTATATATGCATATGTTTATAAACAGCGTTTGTTAGAACGTGCTAAAGCACGGAGAGAGAAGTTAGATGAACAATTTGTTAACGCAGGATATGATGTTAAAAGAAGGAGTCCTTTGAAAGGAAATATTCAGCTGGAACAAATAACAGGTAATGTATATTTCTATAAATTTTTTTTAGATTTCTTATCTATAATTTAAACAATGTAGTTAATAATATTTATTAAAATAAATCACAAAGTAAAATTTATAACAATTAGCTTTTTATATTGAGATTACTACATAGTTTTGTGTGTTTATTCAACAGTGAAAGCAACAAATGCGGCAAATGAAAATTCAGTCAAATCACCAAAAGTAATGGTTGCAACCGAAACTCCTATAAAATCCTCTGATACATTCTTTCTATCTGAAAACATTACATCTAAGAATAATGAACAAAATAATAAAGAAAATGATGAATTTGGAACTTCTAATGTGCGTTCTAAGTTGCAGAGACTTGGAAAACTATATTCTGGTAAATAGTAATTATATAAACATAAAGTGAATGAATTGAACATATTAAAAAATAATGCTTTATATTTATCTTGAGTGACTAGTAGAGACTAATCTCTTGCTGAATCTCTCTCCATTGTAATTATGTTATAATTTTTATTACATGTACATATAAAATTAATATGTGATTTGCTTTTTTCAGAAGATAATAATCTTGGGTCCCCTATACATAGAACTGAAGAAAAATTCAGTGCAGAAGAAAATGATACTGAACATAAACCGATTAAAAGAGGTGCTAGACTCGATAGATTAGCAGCTTTAGCTTCAACAATCAACAATTGGGAAGATGATTTATCACATCCAACATTAAATAATTCAAAGGTATTTCATAATATTTATTTTAAAAGGAGAATTTGTGTTGGTGTTAGCCATTTAGAAAAAAAAGGGAGGGCGATGGAAAGATAGTAAAGGAATTAAAAATTGAGGAAGTAAAAGGGGAAAAAAAAGATGAAATAATATACAGAATATAAAAATAAAAAATAATTAAATTTGTACAAAATTGTAATGCACACAATTATGTATTAATATTTTATAGATTAAACCAGTAAATAACAAAGCTGAAAGAATACAAGCAAAATTTAATGTACAAGTTAAAAGCATAGAACCACAACCAAGCACGAGTAAAAGTTGCAAATTGATTGCTGCCAGCAATGAGACGAAAAGCGAAGATACAAGTCTAGTTAAACAGTTAAAATTGGATAAAACTGTATTAGAAAACTTGGTAAAATATAATTTATTTTAATTTTATTTTTAAGAGATAAGGGAGACTAAAGCTTTGTAAATTTCTTTGCAATTGTTTATGCTATATAAATTTATTTAATTTTTTTTTGAATTTTTTATATTGCACTTTTTGTGCTGTTATATTTCTCATAAAAAAAGAATGAGCAATTAAATGATTATATTTGGATAGCTATAAATACATATTTACAGGAGGCTCAAGGCTTTAGTCGTACGGAAAGCAATTCTCGCCTTGTGTATGACTATAAGCATTGTTCTCAGGAATCAACAAACGCGATGACAAGTCATTTATCACCTAAGAAACTCACGAGTAGTGCTCAGATGGAAAAGAAGCGAATCTCGCTTGAGAAATTTGATGGTTCACCGAGAAGCAAGAAAACTGAAGATGGTACTGGTAATTCGGTTTCTAATACTCCCGAAAATATTGTAAAAGGCGCAAATACCACCAGTAGTTCCCGATTACCATCTAGAACTGGATTTAACGGTTCGCCAAAAACTTTGGTCCAACCATCAGGTTCGGTGTTAAGCAAAGCATCAATGTTTGAGGCTAAAAACATGGATACGAAAGCGAAAGATCCTGCTCAAATGTCGGTCGCCGAGAGAACGGCGTTTTTTGAGCGAAATAAAGGAGAGGCGCCATTAATACCAAAAGCACCGCTTACGATGTCGATACCGCCTAAAAAATTACAAGAGAATAATAAGCTTAACACGCAATTAGGATCTAATGTAAGTAATTCGGTTGTTCATGATGTGAATAATCGAAATGTCGATGCTTCGAACAAAAGCTGCTCGGTTCTTGAACAACGTGCAATGTTTGAACAAGGTAGCAATAAAAACAAAGTAGAAGATATGGAAAATCATATTTTACAAGCTACTTGCACCGAAAGACAGCGTGAGTTAAATATGCTGCGTTCGCGTTTTAATAACAATAAGGAAATTGCTCGTACTGCTGCTAAATCCTGTGTTCGAACGAGCGAAAGTAGCGAAGGAGGTGGCAAATCATCCTCTCCGAAAAATTCGCCCATTTGTCCAGTAAAACCGACTCCTGCTCCGGTAAAATTAAATTTTATAACTTGTAAGATAAGAAAATAACACGAATATGTCTGTATATCATTAATTACAAATTATATTTTATTTATCTATTGTAGGATCACATCACCCCACCTCCACCACCGCCGCCACCACCTCAGATCGTGTCATATTATAGTAAATCTCCGATAAAAAGACAAGGTATTTAAATAGATTTTTTTTTTTTTTTTTTTTTTTTTTTTTTTTTTTTTTTCTTTTTTTTTAAAATTTATTTTTTTTTTTTTTTCTTTTTTTTTAAAATTTATTTTTTTTTTTTTTTCTTTTTTTTTAAAATTTATTTTTTTTTTTTTTTCTTTTTTTTTAAAATTTATTTTTTTTTTTTTTTCTTTTTTTTTAAAATTTATTTTTTTTTTTTTTTCTTTTTTTTTAAAATTTATTTTTTTTTTTTTTTCTTTTTTTTTAAAATTTATTTTTTTTTTTTTTTCTTTTTTTTTAAAATTTATTTTTTTTTTTTTTTCTTTTTTTTTAAAATTTATTTTTTTTTTTTTTTCTTTTTTTTTAAAATTTATTTTTTTTTTTTTTTCTTTTTTTTTAAAATTTATTTTTTTTTTTTTTTCTTTTTTTTTAAAATTTATTTTTTTTTTTTTTTGAAATTTAATTTTTTTTTTTTTTTTTTTTTTGTATTATTTCTCATATATATGAAATGTAATATTGATTTTTTTTTTTTTTTTAAACATATTTTCTAGTTGGAAGTCCACCTAAGGTTCAACATTTGAATACAGTGTTTTGTGATTCCAATGTTAAACGTATCCGTGTGTGTATTCCAAAACCAGGATCTCTTTATCCTAATCTATCTGAGATCGAAGCTACAGAAAGCGGAAGCAGTTCAGAATATACAGTTGATAGTACCGAGCCTGTGACAGCTACTCTTGATGAGGAAACCGAAACTGAAACTGAAAGCGAAACGGTCACCGAAGCCGATTATTACATTCAGGTAAAATAAAAAATTAAAAAGATTGAGTGTATGTGTTAAGAAATACATTATGTATATGTGTTGTGAGTATTGTTGTATGTGTTAATAATATAATTATTTATAATTATACATTCTTTGGATCTTTTGCAGAATGATGAAACTGATCAAGAGACCTCCGAAAGTGACCGAGAAAGCACACAGACTTCATCTATCGGGCGTACGAGTTTAGGACGTACTATTTTGAATGCGTTCAATGAACGCTCGTTGTTTAATAAAAAGGTATATGAATCACTCAATATTATATACTTGGATTATATATATATATATATTAGATTATGTATTTTTATATTATTAAATAATCACATTTTTTAACGATACTATTACAGAGATCTATGGAACCAGATCTAGATAGCACTACCTCGGATATTTCCGCACTGGACGAAATGGATCAATATTTGGACGAATGTTTCGACATGGAAGATAATAATGTGAAAGAGGAAGGTCCAACACCACCGAAAGTAAATAAAGGACGAAAGAGTCTGTTGACGGCGTGTAATAGTTTCAAGTACAGTCAATTATATATATTTTAGCTTTTACTAAAATAAAAATTTTGTTTTTGTCTTTTTTAAGAGACAATTTTTAATTTCACAGATATCGTTCACCTTTAAAAGATTCAGACAAATTAGAGGATGGTAGTGGCAAATGCACACCATTAGTACGCACTGTTAGTGCATATAGACGAGAGCAGTTTCAGGTAAGTTTGATATTTTAATGTAATTTTAATGTGTGGTAGCTATGAATGAACATATCTAAAGTTTTTTTATAATTTCAGTTGGCTAAGGCTAATTCAGCTGCAAGACCAGAAGCGGGATCAGATCCAGCTTATAGCCATACAGAGAAATGCGAAGACGAATCGGTACTGGTGGAAAATAAAGTGAAAAGGCTATTGGATGAAGTTGTCACACAAAATAAAAAAATAGAAGAAGCTAGCAAAGCATTAAATTTATGCAAAGCTAGTATAGAATTTAATGGCTCTAGTGAGCACGTCGGAGGCGAATGGGCTCTTCTTGTTGCCAGTAAGTTTTTATTTTTATAATATGCAGTGTTTTGCATATATTAGATATTAAATTGAAGGGCTAATATGCGAAACTATTAGATAAATATTATAAAGATAAAAACAATTTTTTTTCACACAGCTCGTAAACGACAAGCTGCACTGAATGAAGTGCAGAGACTCAAACGGGAAGGCACGCTAAGACCTGTCAAAGCAGGCTCACCAGATATGGGAAGTGGAGCTTTATCTATCTCAGCGATTACATTATCACTGAAACCAGAATATATTCGACATATGGGTCTTGGTAAGTATAAAGTGATGTATAATTTTGTTACTTTTGTGTAAAAAAACTACATTAAAATAATCGTATAAATTGTTACAGATAAATATCTTCATTGTGTCTGCTTGATGTATCACTTGGGCGAAGTGATTGCCACTCAAGCAGCTACTGCTGAAC